TCCTTCCTCCGTCCTCTCACTCCTCCTATTACTGCCCCTGCTCCTCCGTTTGGAATCTCCCGTCTTTCCTCATATCTACCATATATATTTATCTACCATATACTTTATATCATCCCAACATACAACTCCCCCGGTTCGCCTTTTCGGAAACTCTGACTTTGTTATATCACTCGCATCGCATCACATCACTCACAACATCGAGACGAGTACAGTTCGGAGTCTGCGTTCCTGCGCCCGTCCTTCTCATCGGTCGCAATCATCCATCAAAATATATTATCTTTATTACCCTCACCCATCACCCTCCTCCAGCTTCCTCTCACTCCCAAACTTTAACTTTGTAATCATTCTCTCTTTGTCGTACAACCTGCCCGCCATATTTCCATTTGCAGTGCCTTGAAAGCCGCAGGAAACGGAGTTCGCTACGCCCGACAATCCCGTCCTTCTCGTCAATATCTCCCTCCCCATCAAGCCTTTTCTGTATAGAGTGTTCTTTTCTGTCATTTTTAATCATTCTGTCGAGCACATTCCCCCGCCTGGACTCGAATGTTATTTTCTCTTGTTGAGGGTTGAAAATATAAACTGAAAAAAAAAAAAAAAAAAAAAAAAAAATTATTCCGTCACTTTCCCTCGTAAAAAATCCATTTTTTTCCGACTCGCGTTAATTCCCCCCAAATATCCATCCTCGACCCCCTTTTATTCTTCGCTTGTCGACATATCTCCAAGCCTGTCAAACACAAGCTTTTGCGCGTTTTGTCGTTTCCCTTTTTTCCGCTCCCAAGACTTTTGCTTTTGGCGACAAGAAAAAAATTTCTTGGCAGACCATGTCTTCCCGCGAAAACCCAGACACTTCCGCCCCTATGGCCCAACAACAACCGCAGCAACAGCAACAGCAACAACAACCACAACCACAGCAGCAGCAGCAGCAGCAACAGCAACAACAACAGGCTCAGCAGACGACGCAACAGCAACAATCCCCTCAACAGCCATCCCAACAATCACCACTGCATCAGCAACAGCACCAGCCACAGCCTCAGCAGTCCCAGCAGGGCCCGCAACGGTCTCCATCTCTACAGCACCAATCTCCAGCGCATGTCCAGCATTCCCCCGTCCAGCCCTTCCATCCACCGCTGAGCTCTCCCGCAGCCGTCCAGCAGGCTGCAGCTGCAGCTGCTGCCGCCGCAGCGGCATCTGTCATCGCTCCAGTGCCTCTGCCACAGAATGGGAGCAATGGCGCAGCCCTAGGTGTCACGGAGAACTTGGTGTGTCAGTGGCAGGGTTGCCAAGAAAGGTTGCCCACTGCTGAAGCTCTATATGTGAGTTGACTCTTTCTTGTCTCTTGAGGCTTGTCTTATCCTGTCTTGTCCATCTCTTGGCTGCCCAGCCCAACCGGGGATTTTGATGCACGTGATACACACAAGCTCTGTGCAAATCTATTCAGCGGTTTTTATTTTTATTTTTACCATTATTTTGGTTTTCATATGAATGCTACATCCGCTGTGTTGACGTTGAGTTGCCTGGGTTTTTCAATTGTTTACATTCAATCTGCCCAGGTGACGTTGTGCGTTTATGAGAAATTTCAATAATGTGCCTGATGCTCGCTCATTTTCCTCGTCATATCCATACCTTATAACTAACCAAAGAACAAAATAGGAACATGTCTGCGAACGCCACGTAGGGCGCAAGAGCACCAATAACCTAAATCTGACCTGTGGATGGGCAAATTGCCGGACAACCACCGTCAAACGTGACCACATTACATCGCATATCCGCGTCCATGTGCCCCTCAAGCCTCACAAGTGTGACTTCTGCGGGAAGGCTTTCAAACGCCCGCAGGACTTGAAGAAGCATGTCAAGACTCATGCAGATGACTCGGTCCTCGTGAGGTCTCCGGAGCCTGGACCTGGAACCAGGCCACCCAATGGAATGTTTGGGGTTGGTGTTGGTGCTGATGGGAAATGTAAGTCTAGCATTTTCTAAAGCTGTAGCCTATCCCATTTATATGTGTTTTACCCGTACTAATCTAAGTTCCCAATGGCAGCCCACTATTTCGAAGGCTCCCTAGGACACGTTCACGGCCAAGGTTACCCGCACGGAGCACCACAATACTATCAAACCCCCCACCAACAACACCCCTCCAACCCCTCATACGGGAATGTCTACTACGCCGTAGGCAGCGACTCTCACCAAGCCTCCTACGAGTCCAAAAAGCGCGGCTACGATGCCCTGAATGAGTTTTTCGGAGACTTGAAACGCCGTCAGTTCGACCCCACCTCCTACGCGGTTGTTGGACAGCGTCTCTTAAACCTGCACGGTCTGCCACTACCCCTTGTCAACGGCGCTGCTGTCGCCGTCCCTGAGTACCAGACACAACCCATGCCGGCTATGGTCTCCGTCGGCCACGGTGGCGGCCATAGCGGGGGTGGTGGCTACCAACCCGCCAGCCCCATGCAGTCCTACCACCTGCCACCGATGGGCAACCTGCGCACCAAGGCTGACTTGATGAACATTGACCAGTTCCTGGAGCAGATGCAGTCGACCGTCTACGAGAGTGATGACCACGTTGCTGCGGCCGGTGTTGCGCAACCGGGCGCTCACTACGTCCAGCATGGCGGGATGAGTTATCGTACCTCCCACAGCAGCAATAACGCAAACGCCAATGCCAATGCCAGTCATACCGCCACCAGTTCCCCGCCATCAGCAGCCACAAACATCCCATCCACCCACGCAACAGCCACGACAACAACGACATCAGCACCCATGATCCCCACCTCCAGCGCCGCCCGCTCCCCACACAGCACCACGCCAGCCCTGACCCCTCCCTCCAGCGCTCAGTCATATACTTCCGGCCGCTCTCCCGTCTCCGTCTCCTCAACCCACCACAACATCCCGCCCTCCCACCATTACACCCACACCCATAACCATAACCATAACCACCCTAACTCCAGCGCGGGCATGTACCCCACCCTCCCCGCCACGAGCGCGCAGGACGGAAGCTCGACAAACACATACCACGGCGTCTCGGGCGCTGCCGCACCGTCGACACTTAGCAGTGTCTTCGATAGCGAGGGCGGGAGGAGGTATGCGGGCGGCATGCTGCAGAGGTCTAGACCGGGGATTGTGGCGTCGTCACCACCGCCGTCGTCACAGGGCTCACCGTCTATGTCATTTGCGGAGGTTGGTGGGAATGACACTAAGACGGCGTCCCCGTCCATGTCATTTTCGGCTAGTGTTATTGATCCAGCGTTGCAGGCGGGGTCTGAGAAGCAGAGTGGTAGCAGTGGCAGTGGTGGTGAGGCTGGTGCTGGTGCTGGCGCTGGTGCTGGTGCTGGTGAGGAGCGCAATGGTTCGTCATCGTCCCCTACTGCTGATGTGGAGGAAGTTTCCCGTGCCCTCTCCTCTGCCAACGCAACCACTACCATGGCAACTAAAACAGCACCACCAGAAGTCCCAAGTCATACGGTCGAGCAATGGGTCGCCAACGTGCGTCTGCTGGAGAAATTGCGGCTGTATATCTATGAGAGGTTGAGTCGGGGAGACTACGAGGAGGATACCAACAACAGTGGTAGCGATGTCCAGCTGCAGCAACAGCAGCAGCAGCAGAAACGGGATGAGCAACAACATCAGATGGGGGATGCAGGGGATGCAGGGGATGTTGGTGTTAGTGTCAGTGAGCGGATGGAAGGGATTGAGATTGGAAATTCGGAGGGGGAAGCGGAGGGGGAAGCGGAGGCGGAGGCGGAGGCAGAGGTGGTGGGTAAAGGGATGGTGGAGGCAAAGGGGGAGCAGCGTGGTGAGGGTGGTGAGGGTGGTGGGGGGAGTTTGTATCCGGTTTTGAAAATGGAGTTTTAAGGGAGATGGTGGATGTGGAAGTGTCGGTGTAGACCATTCGTCTGGGCTTTGTTAGGGTTTTCTCAAACCCCACTTTTACCCCCATCTCCCCTTTTTCCTTCGCTTGATATCTTACTTCACCGTTATGACTTTCCCCTGGTGAGCGTGATGGGATCCCGTTCTTGTTCCTTGACTGGGTCTGGGTGTTTTACATGATTTCTGAGTAATTGCTCCTCTTTGCTTTGCTTTGATTAGATTCATTTCCCCCATCTTCTATATCACTACCATGTTGTTATCAGTTATATTTTGTTGTTTTTTCAATCTCATCTTTGTTATGAATGTACCACTCACCTCCTTAATTATGTTTTCTTTTCTTTTTTTTCTTTCGTTTTCTTTTTCCTTTTTTTTCGTTTTGATTCATCTGCCAGATGTACACTTTCTCCAAGTGCCCCTTTTTCAGTTTCTCATTTTCTTGACATGACGTCCTCGTTTCGTTAACGCGTGATGACTTATTTTATATCTATATTCGCTCTGAAAAACAAACGTCCATGGAAATTGAGGGAATGCACGTATTGTATCGGGTATTTTATTTGATTCTTTTTCTTCCTTATTATGAAATGAGAATTGAGATTTCACAAGGTTACCATTTTATTTTTATTCCTGCGAATGCCTTGTTTGAATAGCTCATGTATCTGAATACGGAGAATATATTATCCGGTAACTTTGCTCGCCCAGGATTGGCTGTATTGATCTTACCCAGCAAAAACTCAGCCACGGAACGTTCCGAAACGTGGAACGGTACCAACACAAAGTTGACTCCACGCGTTGCCCGATTAGGCATGTCCGGGGTTTGACAGAAGGCAGAGGAACTGAGAACCGAGGAAGAACAAGAGTTGGATGAAGCAGAGTAGAGCAACAAAGTAATCGTTAAGTGCTGAACAAGGAGCCTGAAGCTGGACGGGAATAGTCTATAACGGAGTAGGGCATAGCAGAGCAGAGCGAAAAGCATCTCGAGGTCGTCTACACTTCGTCTGCTTTCTTACATTATATCCTCTTCACCTGCCAGCTTCACTTCTCTTCATTCCTTTTGACAACCGTCGGCGTTGCCGTTCTTCTATTCTCCAGCAGAGTGTCATCTACCCTCCCATCCCTTTCATCGCATTGACCTGGTACCTGCCGTTGGTCCGCTGTCGACTGGCATCTTTTCCAAGAACCCCCACCCAGAGCCTTGCGTGCCTGCGTTGCCACCCCCGACGGCACGGCAAATGCGGTTCGACCAGACTTCATCGACAAACCTCCGTGCTCTTGCAACCAGATCGACCAATCAATCCAATAATAGGGAGAGAAAGGAAACAGATCCGTTGCTTGCAAACTGCGAAACAACTAAACAACTAAACAACAAAATAATACAACCACCCACACCTCTCTCTTCACGGAAGCGGAAGGGGAAAACAAAACGTCATCGTCGTCAAGCTTAAAAGCCAAAATCATCAATCACGGGAGCTGCAAGAGTTAACTGCAGAACCCATAGTTAGCTGGATGCGCGAGACACCACACTTTGCCAGACGTTAAACACCTGCAACTCAAAGCTGGAAGAGAAAGGCCCAAAACTAAAAATAAAGCATTGCATCAAGGGAAAAGGCACACGAAGAGTTAAAAGTCGCCAAACATCAGTATAATATAACCACAGTTTTCAATTTGATCGCGTCTTTTCTGTCTTTCTTTTTGCTCTCTTTCACGAAGCAAAAAGGAAGAAGAAAGGGTTAACTCGAGAAGAGACCAAGAAGAGAAAAGAAAAGAGATATACATACATACATACATACAACTACTACTACTACTACTTACAGGTGGGCTGCTCCTAAAAGCCCATGCGAGCGGGCGTATCGATAAGTTAAGCTAAAAAAAGCTTTTGTATTATTGCTGACAACCGCAGAGCGGCGCGTCATTCTGACACTAACCATCAAAAGTTGCATCCACCAACAAAAACAATACTGGGCATCTAACTCTGTCGCAACACAAAGGTACCGCTATCAACAAGCTGTGGGAAACCCTTTAATAAGCAAAAGTCGCGACCGTCCTCTGCCTTGGTTCTCTATTTACACTCTGAACCAAGGTTTCTCCATTCGGATTGCCGAAATTTTTGCGTTTAAACTCTGCCACAATTGCAAATTGGTGTGGCAACTCCACAAACTTCCTGGGAACGGAGGCGCAAGGGAAAAGGGAAAAGGGAAAGGGTAAAAAAAACAAAATTTCGTTTTCATCATTCCTATGGTTGCTTCCATCACATTCTCCCTCTTCACATTCTCCCTCTTCTCCATAATCGTTTTTCTCTGTTTAACTTTTTCGCCCTCTGAACCGATAGCAAAAATACACGAAACAAAATCCCACCCCCGCCTCTCGTGTTCTTTATTTACGAATTTCGCTGCACTTCCGTTTACGATACACCTCTTACAATTCGGAAGGTCGTTTTTTTTGGAACACCGTCCACCAACTTTTTCCGTGCCGTTCTAGATCTAGGCAAATCGCGTGGATAAGTGTGGCGCGCTTCTGATTTCGATCTACTCTGTGTTTTACGATACGGAGTTCAATGGGAAGCGGAAATAATAACGCAACTATCTGAACATCGAACTTCGAAGTGGAATATGCCGCCATCAAGTAAGCGCCGTATCCGGCGCAAGGATGCCAGATTGCAAGAGACACCCGAAACTGACCTGTTGGATTCCTCCCCTTCCCGTCGAACTACCAAGAAGCGCAAGGTATATTTTCCTCATTTTCTACAGTCGCTAGCGTTCTCTGGCCTGGATGTGTCGTTGATTTGCCTTTCTTTCTTATGTAGATTGACCACACCCGTGCGCTCGTCCTGCCTGTTGAAAAGACTCCAGAACCGGAACCCGTTTCGGCCAGCGAAGCTGACGACTCTGGTCTCGAAAATGATATCGCAACAAACAAGGATCTGGTGGATGCCGTGATAGCGTGTCTGGATGTCTCCGAAGACCCTGTCGCGGTCATGGACGAGTATTCTAATATTAAAAACGAACGCGAAAACCCGGAAAGCGTGAAGGCTTATGCAAAGATTGCGGGCCGCGACTGGACTTACTACATGAAGGGCCTGCACATTAACATCGGACGGCCCCCAGACCGCGATCAGAGAATCGATGCCCAGTCCAGCCCTGTCGCCGTTGCGGCACAGGCAATGCCAGAAGTCCACATCGATCTAGGTCCAAGCAAGTTCGTCTCGAGACTCCACGCTGAGATCCTCTACAACAGCGAGGAACCGAGTGGCTGGCATATCCGCGTCAACGGCCGCAATGGCATTCGATTAAATACGCACATTATAAAGCGAGGAGGCATCGCGCGGATCACATGTGGTGATGTCATCGAGATCGCAGGAACGCAAATGATGTTCGTAACCCCGGATGATCAGGCAGTTATCCACCCTTTCTTCGTGGATAGATGTCAGCGCCTGGCTGCTGGGGATGAAGTTGGAGACTGGGATGAATCGCACCATGCGCACCCTGAGCGTTCTGCCCGCAGCAACCGGGCTGCTGGTCGGACGTCTCATTACGAACAGGGACAACGCATTCCAAGTGCCGTGAACGGTGAGGAGCCCGCTGCCGCCACAGCTACATCGTATCAACATGATAGAAATCGCCAAACTACCCCTCAAGCGCGTCCAAGGTCACCAAATACCGCTGATGCACCCGCTGCTAAGCAGTCTCCGTTGTATAACCGCGGAATGATGATGGAAAGCACGGAGAAAATTGATTATAGTGACGATTCAGCCAAGGATCTGAAACCGCCATATAGCTATGCGACGATGATTGCGCAGGCTATTTTCTCAACGAAGGAGGAGAAGTTGACACTAAGTAATATCTACGCGTATATTACAGAGAAATATGCCTTTTATCGTCATACAAGCTCCGGCTGGCAGGTTCGTAGAAAACCCCCCTTTCCCACAAGCCTGCGTCGTGATGCCAATCTTGTCATCGGTTAGTGACTGATCTCCCCTGCTATTGTGTATCTGTAGAACTCCATCCGCCACAACCTCTCCTTAAACAAGGCATTCCAAAAAGTTCCCCGCCGCACCGACGAACCGGGCAAGGGCATGAAATGGCAAATTGCTCCTGAATTCCGCCAGGAATACTGGAACAAACAGGCCCGCAAGGGTGGTGGCGCCACTAACCAGTCCTCTACCCCTTCATCGCCCGTTGGCAAGGAGACCAACACTAATAATAGTAACAAGAATACTGCCAACGGCCAACCAAAAAGCTACGATAAGGGTTTTGAAAGCTCTTTTACAGCAAGCAACAAGTCCCCCCAAATGGCTTCACCAGGCTTCACATCCTTCTCCGTCGCTCCCGTGGAGGCGTATACACCCGAACGCGGCTCACGAGTTAGCCGGTATAGCATGACCAACGGCCATAATAACCTGAACACAACCACCAACACCAACACCCGCACAGACTTCGCGGATCAACACTCGCCACTCCCCAACCGTTCACGCACAAACAATCCTTCCCACACATACGGACTATCCGATAACGTCTCTGGCTCCCCACCCGTTCTCTCCTCCTCTTTCTTCGATGATGCAACATCGATGATCACGCCCGCGCCACGCAGACAGCAACCCCGTCTCGCACCGCCCAGCACGGCACAGATACCATCCAAGTTCATGCCGTTGAGCTCGCCGGCGCAATTCTGGAAGTTTGCAGATATTGGGAGTACACCGGGACGCGTACCGGATATGAGCCCGTTGAATAATGGAGGAATGTTTAGTGCTGGTGGCAGAGATAGCAGTGTGCGAAGCAGGGTTGGTGGGATGAACGTCATGCCTAGTAGTAGTCCGCCGCCGGCGAATTTAGGAAGTCCGAGTAAACCGGGTAGCGGGGCTGGGTCGTCGAGGGCGCTGGGGTCGAGGAAGGTTGGGGCGCATGATGGTGTGGTTAATAGTGGTAGCAGTCCTGTTAGTGGCGGACCTGAGGATGAAGAGGAGGAATTTGATCTTGCGAGGTAAGATTGTTTTATGCCCTTTTTTCGTTTTTGGTTTGGAGGGGTGTGGGTTTTATTTTTATTTATTTTTATTTATTTATTTTTTTTTTTTTTTGAAAACGCTAACGGTTCTCCTTCAAGGGGGTTTCAACCTATTGGGTCTTACCATCAGCAAATTAGTGCAACTAGGGCGAGAGCGAGCGCGTCGACTTCTTAGTTCTGCTTGCGCGTCAGGCTTGAAATGGGAGTGTTAGGGCTTCATTCTCAATATCAACTCTTGACTTTTTATACTCCTCCCGATTATTGAAAAATCGAGGGAAGGATACAAATGAAAATGGAAAAAGAAGTTGAAGAACAAAACTGTGAAGATGAAGATATAAAGATGAAGATAAAACAATCCCCAAAACAAAACAACCGAAAACTTTTCAGGCCTCGGTTCGGCTCTCCTCCTTCGGATTTTTACTTCCATATTCTTTCCCCCTGATCAAAGTTCCCAGGGATCCTTGTCACAACACCGCGTTCCTCTCTTCCAAACATCGACATCATACCCTATACATAACTGTGCAAGCGGAACTCGCAGGGTTACTCCGATATCATAGTCCACGACATATAATACCCCACACTCACGATCATCTATCCACGTCCGTTTTCTCTAATCCCTTGTCCATCGCTTCTACCCTGCATTTGTATTAATATCGATAACGCCTCTCCGATTTTATGAATTTTGTTGTTTTGTGTTTGCCAACAATGAATGACTGAGTTGGATCCTATCGTTTCCCCTCCCAAATACTCATCACCGACGTGTTTCGACGGGCAGAGCGATTGAACCGACAGTTGACAAACACCCTTGGCTGCCAGGAAGACGTATTATTGTTTTACTGGTTGACTTGGCTGGATATGATTGCGATCAAATGTCGCAGCTCTGATGATGGTGAATACTTAATACAATAATGTGGATCGTTTTCGTCTTTCGCCTTTCTACTATGCTGAATGTTTTCCTAGGTTTGTCTAATGGATTTTCTCTGTTGTCGCTTTTGGAGTTTCGGTGGGCGGGTTGGTGGAAGCTGACTCCGGATTTGCATTTATTTTCTCTTAATTTTTTATCATTCCCAAACTGAAGAAGAAAATTGCATGGGATATGGAGTTTTCTTCTTTTCGCTTTTTTCTTCCCCTTTCATCGTTGCTTTATTTTCAACGGGTGTCTTTTACGGTGTTTCGAAGGAATGGAGGGGAGTTACTCAGGTTTTGTTTCATGGTCTTCCATTTGCTACCATATGTTATTATCTATATGGGGTTTTTCTTTTTTACTCTTTTTTTTTCTCTCCCAGCATTGGGTCATGCTTTATTTGTTAATTTAATCTTTTTAATCCCATTTTATTGTTTTTAATGGTGTTGCTACGTTTCCTTCGCGGCCGTCAAGCAGTGTCTCTCATCTTCCCCCTTTATCATCTAGCAACGCGTCTACTGAGCTTTGTATGCTCCCCAGGGCATCAGACTTACTCTTTGTTGATTTCCTTGTGTTCATGAGCCTCGGAGGCGTCTATCGTTCTTTTATCACATCATGTTTAGTTAATTCCCTGAGAGTTAGCGGAGGAGTGGCATTGCATTTCCGTACTTGCAATATTTGCTTCCCCAGTTAGTTGACGACAAATCCTATAACTAATGATGTTGCTATTTTTTATTTCTCTTTAATTTCCTTTTTGTTTTAAATATAGAACTCGTCGTCATAGCGGGCTTAAGTTAAATGACTCTTGGGGCTTTCCGGTGATGTTCCCGCCGGTTGAAAGGAGGCATTCGATTACATCAACTAGTTAATTGCCCAGTTTAATGAGTTAACCAACTATTTAATGAGTTAACTATCAGGTCTGTGCCTCACCAAGATGTGGTTGAACGAGTTATTATTGGGGACAACAGTTTGAACATGTTTAGAAAAGTTGGGCCCACTTTTCTAATATCATTACCAACTCTGTTCATCTCATCTAAAATAATGAAACACAAGTCTCCACACTCTCTGCACATAACTAAACCACACAAATTGCTAAATGCAGATCTCCGTCCAACCTCACCAACGCCTCAACATCAGAGTTAGAGGTAGATTAGGTTAGGATTAAGATTAGGGGTTAGGATTAGGGTTAGGGTAAGGCCTGAGAAATATGATAAAATCACTACCATCGAGAGCATTTCAAGATGTGTGTGAGATATGTGTGAGATATGACTTTGTGCATGCAGTTTTAACTAATGAGCTTTTCCAGCCAAGATTTACAACCACTTTCGACAGTTTCTAAAGAAAAGATCCTTCTTTCTTCGCCCTTTAGCAAGAAGAGGGACTCAAGCCAGATACAGCGCACAGCTTCATAGGATCATGACATGACAATCCGTGCATGGTTATAACCATTCAAACCAAACTTATGTCATTGGCAGCTGTTCAAACCGTTTCGATATAACATCATCTTATTAGACCCTTTCTCTGTAAACATCTATATATACTCTAATCATTGCAGCTACGAATACCTTGTTCCAATCAAAACCTCTCCTAAACGCTCAATATGCCTATCATTAGTGATGATTTTCGCATCGATAATATCTCTCAGGACGAAACTGTGTACCAGGTGGGCTATGCCCCCTCCTCTCTCATTCACAGAGAAATATCATTTTGAAAAAAAGACACTGCTAACACTACCAATTGGTCATCTAGCGATGTCTGATTATTAAAGGCTGGTGCAAATCAGCCGGAGAAGCCGGTTTCCTCACTGTTCAGAATCTGGATGCAGATGGTTTCCAGAACTTCTCACAGCTGAGCCACCCGATCATCGAAGGTCGCTTCACCTTCATTACCATGCTCACCCCTGGAATCAATCAGCTCTTCATCTGTCGGGGTAGCCATTACGGTAACATGGCGCCCGTTCCTTCTACCGAGCAGCTGGTTGTCTGTATCAACTACGTCCCATTGCTGCAGTGCCCGCCCCTCCATCTTGCCATCATGATCGCCAAGGACTCTCCTCTGCTCATTGACTGCCCTCCAAATCTCTCGGGAGATCATTCATCACTGGATGCTGTGATTGCCAAGTTCTGCACCACTGCGTACATGTGGCAGGCCCTCACAGCAGAAGATATGCGAATGAAAGGGCTTGGCCGCCGTTCCTTTCGCCTAGAGGAGGGTGGAACTGATTCCATTAGCCAACAGTTCAAGAATAGGCAGGGCCAGAATTTGCTGCATGCTAATGGCTCCACGCGTTCGATGGCAAAGGTCCATCTAGTCTGGTCAGATAAGACGATTGCGGAACTAAGCGACCCTAACATTGCTCAGCAGAATCCTCATGCGACTGAGAAGAATAAGTTATTCGAGTACTTCCTTGATGCGCTCAAGCAGTACGGCGCACCATTCGAACCGTCCAGTCGGCCCGTTGTTGCGGGTCTAATCCTCGACTCTCATTACTCGGCTGACAAGAATCTCATCCTAGGCCATGCCGCGTTGGGATGCTATAACCCCTGGAACATCGCACTGGGGATGTTTGGCAGCCATCTTACGTACAGCTGGCCACGTTCAATAGAGGAAATTAACTCCTGTTTACTCGATACGCGCTGTCCAGGACCTACCGTTGGAAACGACAATGGTGAATGCGCCAGCATGTGGGAGGCCTGCGCGATCGGCCAGGGGGCCTTTTTACACGAAGTTGGCCATGCCTTTGGCGCACCGCATACCACTGGAATTATGAGTCGTGGCTATGGCACAGCACTGGCCCAGGAACTTCTTGGCCAAAACTGCGTATTGTGTACATCGGAGAACGGAGGGAGTTGTCATGATAGATAGGCAGACGGAGAATAATGCGCGCTGGGATCTTCGTGATGCGCTATCATTCAGGCTATTCCCGCACTTCTGGATTCCGGGCGACGAATATTTAGAACCAGATGTCCGGACTGAGACACCTCGTGCTACTGCCGCTGGGCAGGAGGCGGATGACGGCGCCGGACAATGCATCAAACTGTCCTGTCGAGCGGGGATTGCACAGATAACATTCAACGATGATGGGAATCCCGAACCCTCTCCCACCGTGACGTCTCCAGCCAAGGAAGTTATCTTCACGATGAAACAGATTCAATCCCGCTTCCCCCGCAAACATAGCCACAACAAACCCCTGAAACTAACTATGCTTGGCATGAATGGCAAAACTGGCACGGTCCGCGACGTCTGGCGCCTCTTTGACTCCATGAGTGTCATCACAATCCCCGGTTCCAAGGTTGTGTTAACGAAACAATCTATTCGGTGCCCTGATATGGAGGTTGGAGATCCGGATCCCACACTTGTCTGGACTTGGGCAACGTTATTAACGAAACCGAGAGGCAAAGATGCCAAGGCATCCGGCGGCCGCATGAAACTTGTCAAGTCCATTGATGTCCGAACGGGGATGTTTTTGGATGGCTTGTATGTTGATTTTGAGGATGGGGAGCGGGTAAACTGTGGGCCACGACTGAACCCCTCTGGAGGCGAGCATTTGTTTGGCGGGCATGCCGCCGAGGTGGTTGATATTATTCCTAGTAGTAGTGGGAAGGGTGACGGGCGGGTTGATTATGGGAGTCGAGAGATTGTGAAGATTCAGGTGGCGAGGCGCGACGATGTGCTTACTGGATTGAGAATTCATTTGAAGGATGGGACGGAGGGTGGTCGGTTAAGTGGATTTGAGGGGCATGTGGAGGAAAGGTGTGTGCTTGGTGAGTTTTCCTTTCTCCGTTCCTTTCATATAAATTCCCTTGTGCATATGTACTCTCTATCGCACGCTTTTTCTGACGGACAGTGAACCCTTTTGTTCTCAAAATGGACACAGAACCACCACCGGGACACCGCATCGTTGGTTTCTTCGGAAGCAACTGGTGGGGTTGTTCGTTCAATGCAATATTCGAGTTTGGGATCCTTACAGCACCGCGTGGTGTGGAGCTGCCCGAGGCTGTGTATGGGATGAAGGAATTAATGAATACAGACGGGGGACACGCTGTGAGTTAAGGAATTTCCCTCCCTGAGAATTACGAGAATGGGTCTCTGAGGATTTAGGCTGCAGTGATGTACAAAATCACCCTATGATTTGACGCAAGCTACGGATATAGGAGGGATAAAATGGATTTCCCTTTGATGGTTAACTATCTAACTTCAAATTAATCACCCACCAACTCTGTCGAGCGGACAATAATGATGCAAGAGCAGGGGGGAAAAAAGCCATTCAGGAAAAGGATATCCCAATTCCTCAGGGTGGTGTCGAGCAAACATAGAATCAAATGAAACATAAACACATATCCGCCCATCCGACTATTAATTACTTTGCCAATAACGTCAATCAAAGGATGCCATTGTATTGTTCGTTCACAACACTTCCTACCTTCCTAGCTACCGGCTGCTACTGCCAGGAAACAATTCTCAACAGACAACGCAACACTTCAAAGGCTACCAGCGTCTAAGTAACCCTTCAGTTACACGATCCCTCCTCTCATTCCCATCAAATACCCAACCCCTTACCGTCCCCACCGTCATCATCGACCTCCAGACTCTCAGCATCCAGCGCCAGGTCCAAACTTGCGCACTGATACCACATCCTCCCCTCCAAATCCCTCACACCAGTTCGAACCCTCCTCTCCACCTCTTCTTTCCGTTTCCCCTCATATACATTGCCGCCCTCCTTGCCTCTTCATCACACAGAAACAACCCCAGTCCATTTTCCTGGTCCGCACCCCTAGCCGCTCCAGTCCTTAACCAGAAGTAAGCGGCCAATCAGTCGTCGCGGAAATTTTTACTCTGATCATCCAGGTCAATAGGTTTATCAAGCAGCAGACGGGACTTGAGCGTGATGCCAATCATGGCCTCCATGGTATATCGCGCGTCGTTGCCACCGTTGTGCAGATTCCAGCCCATAATGCCGAGATCGGCTAGAATTCTACCTAGGGATGCTGGCTCTGTTTCGTGCTTCATGGCCCGGTAGAGGACGGAGGTATCAAGGGTTTCGAGGAAGTTGGGCTTTGGGGTCTGTTGGGTTTGGTTGTGTGGTAATGATGAGGGGGAGGTTGTGATGGCTGTGGTGGTGGGTTTTGTGAAAGTTTGGCATCCCAGTTTGCGGAGGAAGGTGAGGTCGCTTTCGGTGTCATGGCCGAGGAAGATGATGTTGCGTGCGCGGGCTTTGTATTCCGGGATGGGATCTAGAATATCAGCCCCCTTGGGTACAATATGGGAAACTGGTGATTCAGGGGTACTCTGAGAGTTGATATATCGGCTGTTATTGCCGTGGGTACCCTTTCTGCCTGGTAAGCTTTGGGGAAACCGGCGCGTGTGAGCAGCATAGGGAGGTTGGAAGCACTCATCAACGACTTGCGCCGCTGTTGAAATTGATATCCATTCACTTTTTCCGAATTCAAAATAATCCGGACACCCAATGATGAAATCCTTATTGACGACGTGCGAGTATTCCGAAATTCGAAAGTGGCGAGAGTTTATCTTAGCGATCCAGTTACAGCCTCCTTCGCCAGGTGGAATCCCGACGAGGTCAAGAGTATCAAGTGTAGATATCCCAATTTCTGTGATTTGTTGCTGGATTCTCTCATTCGCCTCGACATCAACGCAGAAGAAGATTGGCTCACTCGCAAAACCAAACGGTGCAGGCTCATTGACATCGAATGGAAGAAGAACAAGCCCACATGCCAATGCATATTCACGTTCAACCCGCTTCTGCTCTTCCCAAGGGAGACCAATGGTCTCAGGAGCTTGGAGATCACGGGGACGTTGAGGATGTATTCCCAGGTAACACTGGGTCCGCTTTAAAGTGCGACACCAATCCTGCAGTTTCTGCATACGATCAACCTGTCGTTTCTCATTGGCTACTCTGTTTCTTCTCCGGGTGGCATCGATAGCAGCTTTCATCTTTGTTTTGAACGCGACAAATGAGCGATCGATTTCGACAGAGGAGCCTGTAGGCGGCTCACCATGGCCTGTTGGTGCCGCCGGTATGGTCGACTCCATTTCTGCTTTTTCGTCCCGACTTCTCGACGTTCCAAGGTACTGTGGCTGTGGGGTACTGTCGTTTTCAAAGGATATTAGGAACCCAGGTTCCCTGTCTGATGGAATGGCAAGCTGACACTTGAACGCTTCGTTTATCTCATCGATGAGATCTTGGACCTGGTGGCTTGGAACCAGAATCAGAGGCTGGATCGATATGAACAGCGGAGGGTGAATATAGTATCTACTTAAATACGTGAATTAGTGAATTCGAATAAGCGTAACAAGATGAGGGAATTAGCGATCGAATGTTGTAGTAATGACGGGCAAATTCTCTTCCTGGGGAAACCATTTGTGGCTTCAGAATATAGAGCATGAATGCAGGTACGTCTGCACCGCCAGGTATAACTTTGAACCCAAAAGGGAATTTTCAAGGAATAACGCACATATCCCAAAACCTGTTCCAGAATTTTCCTTTGTCAAAGAACCTTTTCGCGATTCTATCTCTATCGCCAATGCGGACATGTTCGTATGGGAAGCGGCTGACAGCAGTTATTGGGCAGAACGATGTTGGCTTGTTGAAACCGCCCGCTACGAGGGTGTGATGGGAGAACGTCAATACAGACAAGTCTACATTTGTGCCACCGAAGGAATTATTGGTATTCTTACTGTTGTTTTGCATTTTCCTTCTGGCTTTCCGTTCAGCTCTGGAGAAAGAAGCTTGGTATTCATCAAAGCCAGTCTCTGGACCGGCTGCTTTGTTTGGATTCAAGGCACTGACTTCTGGTGGCTTGATATTGTTCTGATGTTCCTGGGAAAGGTGGCATGTTTCAAGCACAGCGTCAAGTGCAGTATGAAGTCCTGTGTCAGTCTGAAGAAGTTCTTCATCTCCATCAAAGAGCATTTTCAGGCGCTCAATCTTATCCATGGGCGCAGGATAAATTAGCGTTTCAGGGAGTTGTCTAAGGAAGTGGTTGGCGCAAAAGAAAAATCTGAAAATATGATAGACAAATGAATTAAAAGGGGAGAGAGGTCGGTGTAAAGCAGAGTGAGAGGACTATGTTGATGTTGTAGATGAGAGTTCTTGTGTCACTATGACAATGGCATGGCAAGTCTCAGCTAAATGTGTGGTGGGAGCTCAATAGAACAACAGATTAAAGAGCACTTGAAACATCAACAGACAACAACATGAACAACACACAACCCTGGAGGGGATCTAGCATCAGAAAGGACTGGGATTAGCCGCAACGTCATGATTTTTAGTGTACACATTCCAGGGTGGTGGGAGATTCTCTGTTGCTGACATTTCCGGTAAATTTGCGATTATCAGTAACAGTTGAGCCAAAAAAATGCAGTTACCAAATATCTTTATAGATCTTATAATTTTAATATCCATTGTTCGAAATTGCAAATAATAATATAATTACGGAGTTGGGTTGATGCTCAATAGCCAAGATCACATGATCTGGCATATCGGCAGTCCGGGGAACCTGTTTATCCGAAAAACGCTCCACAGATCCACGCTAACCCAATCGAGTAACTGTCATTTCAACTTCGCAACTCTTGAAACCAAAGGGCGAAGAAGCTCGCTCTCCAATCCAACGATCCTCTGCAATACCCCATCATTGCCCTTGTTGTCTTGATTATACCTCCTGTAGGGGCCTCTTTTTTCTTTGACTAGCTGCGATAATCTTCATACGAGCAAGTTATTGTGAACCGTAACCTCCTCCAAATGTGTCAACTGTGACTCCATGATCTCCCGTGTCGCACAGATGGTGACGCTTTACTCTCGTATGGCATTGTCTCCAACGGAGTCTTGACTGAACAGAACCCATTCACTTTCTCTCTCGAGCGTCTCGTGGGCTCAATGATGTCGGAAAATTCGGATGATAATGGCGTCATCATGGAGGGCCCCTCCGATCCAGATGCACAGGCCACCGTGACAGATTTCATAGACTACACCGAGTACCTCCCCTCAGACCTCGTTCGTTCCCTGACTTTGATTCGTGGCCTGGACGAAAAATATCTAGATGCGGCTGCAGCTGTCCATGAGTTTACAAAGACCTACGGACAACTTCCCAACCTGCCACCAGAAGCGCGACCCGACCCTCTTGTGCTACGAAAGCAAATTTCAGAACAGTTGGGGCGCGTGATAAATGCCCGTGAGTCCGCCTACGCGGAAGCATGTCGCATTTACGATGTTGTCGATCGCCACTTTGACCGCCTCGGGAGCATCAAATCCAAGTTGAATGCGCTATCAAGCTCATGCACTACAGTTTCTCGAGACACTTCTACGCCTCCCCCAGCTGAACGGTCTCCTGACGCAAAACGACAAAGAAGTGGACGCAAATCCGGTGAGGCACCTTCTGCACCAAGGATAACTTTGCGCATCGATGGGCCTCGCCAATCAGCACCCACAGAGAAAGGCACACAGAAGGGAAACCTTCGCAGGACAACAACGCGCCGCGGCACCCTTGCCCTGTTGAATCCGGACTCCCCCATAGTCAGCATGGAACAATATGACGACGAAGGTGAACCTGATTCATCGCATGTTCTTGATGCAGAGCATTTGATAGACCAATTCAAGGACAAGGGGAAGTCGAAAAAACACAAACGAGGTACCACAATTCGCATTTCTCAGCCATCTGATTCCGGTAACTACGTGGATGCAAATCAGATCGATACCTCCACCAGCAACGCCTTGGCCATGCTGAAACCTCCCCCAGAAAATGCAAAAATCGGCAGCGAACATTTCCCCTGGCTCCGGTTGACTGAATGGGAGATGACTAAGCTTCGAAAAAAGATGAAGAAGAATAATATCTGGCAGCCCAGTGAGATAATGATACACCGTGAGCTTGCGGTTCGTGGTCGAGGGTGGGAAGGATATCGAGCAGCCAAGTTAAACGCCGAAACAACAGGTGCTGAGTTCGTAGACTGCGACGACATAACGAAGAATTATGTTTCAGGGAAACTCGTCCGGAAAAGCGAAGTAAACGCGGATATATCGGGTGTGGAGGAGACTAAACTGAGCAATCGAGGTATGAAACTCAACGAAGCGAAGAAATTGAAACGAGAAAACCTTGCGAGAGAACAGGCGGCTCTAGCTGCGGTCGAGGCCGAAATGGCGGCGAAACGACTCGGGGACATCGGGTCTACTTTTAAAAGCTTGTTTTCCACCCCTGCAGAGCAGAGTCATTACAGTAGCGTTCAATCTGGACTTTTAGGTAAATCTTTCAAAGCTAACGGTCCTGCAGTGAAGGATAGGCCAAAGGTGCCAAAGCAGCCTGCTAAGAAGAGAAAATTTGAGGAGGCAGCCGCGCCAGAATCGTTTCAAGATGTGGACTCCCAAGCTGCTGTCTCCTCAACCACTGCCAAGCCGTCCGCGAAGAAACGCAAGCTTAGCAAATCTGCTTTTTCAAGTACCGTTAACCCAACTGCAGATGATGCCTCTATGGAAAGTGCAGTTTCAGCAACTAGGGGCCCTCAAGCTGCTACCGGTGGCCCATCTACAGTCTCTAAAAGATCATCCCTCCCCGCTTCTCCTACTGAGTTCCGCCGGTCAACTGGCCCTGCCGTATCCAAGGCCCACCCTACGCCAACACCCCCTGTTACCCGCCCTGCTTCTCGACCCCGTTCCGCCACCGGAGCCCCTGGAGAATCTACAGGTCGCGAACGACCCTCAAGGAAGAGTGCCACTCCCGCAGTCAGCAAAGCCGCCTCTGGAGCCGATCAGGTCACTACAACTGCTGCTGGCCGTCGCAGCAAGCGCCCTGCCCCCGGACCCGTAACTTCAGGCCAGGATGGCGGCGCTGCCGTAAGCGTAGGCCGTCGCAAAGCCAAGCCCACAGCGAAGAAAAAGAAGGATCAGGCCTACAAGGAAAGTTCCCAGACGCCCAGAACCGAGGATGTGCGGATAGACGAAGACGGAGTTCTCGAGGAGATCGACCCGAACGAACCCAGGTACTGTCTCTGCGGAGACGTCAGTTTTGGCACGATGATTTGCTGTGAGGATAATGATGTGAGTGGCCGATGAAGCTGTGTATTTTGTTCGCTTTAAGTGTACTGTTTTTGCTTTTCTAGTTCTGTGTTTCTTTCCCCTTTCGTGAATCCCATGTTCCGCTAATCTTGTCTTTACTCCCGTCCATTACCAAACCCGATCCTTTCACTTACAATCCGCTGCTGGACCGTGATAACTAACCCAATCTACTATGGCTACCCAGTGTGACAAGGAATGGTTCCATCTCGATTGCGTCGGTCTTACGGAAGTCCCAAGCCGGACTGCGAAATGGTATTGCCCCGAATGCCGGAAGAAGCTTGGCAAAGCTGCGACGGACGGCATCGTGCGAACAGGCGGCGGACGTCGCTAGTTCTGGATTCACTTCATTCCCGTCTTGATTCTCTAAATGTATAATAACTCAAACAGTAGTTAATAATGAGTGACGCTAGGAGGAAATATGGAGCTACAAGGTGCAAGGTGGTTGGATTTTGAATTTCAATTTTGTGTGAAGGTATTATACCAATCTGCGGTTTAACATTTACAGGCTAAATTATAGGGAGTGCGTGCTGGAGGGTTTTGATCTGACAGCAGATCCAAATTTCCATTTTCTTCGACGTCAACATATTGTATCTCTTGACATCCTGCTTACGGCTAGAAATGGTTTCCCCATTTTGCTACCATAATTCTGCCTTAGGCCCCGGAGGGGTTGTATGATACTTTGTTATTAATATAGTTTTCAGCGGCTATGACACAAGCTTACACAGGGATGCCCAAGATACTTTTCGGCCTGTTAAACGAATATATTTGTGAGTGACAATCTCGTGTTTGAAGCGTTGCATACGCGTCGTGCACAGTCTGTGGGTGATCTCCCTCTCAGCCCTCATCGTTCAATTATCTCTCTACTCTTTTATCATCCTTTACCCTGAATTACATCTCAATCAAGATGAATTTAGCACTTTCTCAAAAGATCTTTGTGTTCAGCTGCATCATTTCGTCTAAGTGGTTGATTAGAGATCAACATTGAGATATTCAGATTGAGAATCCTTCAAATAAATCGATAAGGGTTCATGTCTGTTCTGAGAAAAGAATCGGTGATTGACGATGAGATTGATTATTCTTGAACATTCTACTCCAAAAACAGCGCATATTACATCTAAACTCCTGCTGCTAAATTCTGTTTTTAATAGATCTTTTAATGTAAATAAACTCCGATCTCTGAGATGAAGCTCTCGGTTACGCAGTCAACGCAACTCTGAAAAGACTTTTTAAAAATATTGAAACTCACTTCTATATAATAATGACTTGCATATCTCTTCAAATTTAAACTGAATACAAACTGTATATAAAATCCTATAAAAGATAAATCCAAAAAAAAAAATACCTTTTTCATGATATTATCTGTGATGTGATTTGTATAAATTTACATATCAGTATACCTACCTCTCTCGCCCCTGAATATATAATAAATGCGAACCCCTCAATATTTTGATCAGTTAACCCGTTCCAGCGCGCGGCGTTGTTCTTGTTAGGGTCCGTGCTTTTTCATAGCGCTACTACGCCTTGGTTAGGCCGAGGTTCTGCGATCCGCCTGGATCCCGGGAGGAGGTGTGTTGTTGCTCATCAGTTAAACCTGCTAACCAGTTTAAGATTGGCAAATAAAATCTTCAACCAGCTGCTACTGCCTGGTGCACGTGATTTAGGTGGCCCCACATATACCTGGTGGTAGTATTTGGTAGCTGTCTCGGGGATGCTATATACTACTGTTGCGCGGTGCGCTAGGAAGCCTAGGCTCCAACAATACCCTAACCTAAGGTTGTAGCGGCCTGCGACTCCCGGACGGGATCGCAGAACAGAGGAGGATACGCACGCGGATATTCGGTGTCATGAAGTTACTTGAAACCCATGCTTTGGAATCTAGGACATCTTCACAA